TCCGCACATTGTCTTGCAGGTATGTTTGTATGAGTAATGATGATTCCCGTCTATGTGCTGTGTCCTCCGGTGGGCAGAGGTTATAGAGGGAGTTGTAATATTCCCGGAATTCACCTGCTATTTCTTCAGGGTAAGGTGATATACTGCCCGTTGATAAGCGAAGTTTTCTCACTTGAGTGCGTGGTGTGTCTCCTTTCAAGAGGCGGGCGAGAAATTTCCCACCTTTGTTTGCATGTGTGTAAAAGAAGGACCTCGATCTTTGGAGCGAGCGGTGGTGTCTTTGTGTGAGTAGGGCCTGAAAAGTTCGTCTAGCTTCCATCAGTTCACCATATGTTGAGGTTAGTTGGGAACGTTTGTGTTGGGATTCCAGGCGTGCGATGGATTTATACGCGTCTGTCATCGCCCGGGTGGATTCCTTTCTTTTGCGAGAGGCGATGCCGATGAGGGTACCACGGATAACACTCTTATGGGCTTCCCACACCGACACCGGAGATATCTCATCTGTTCCATTCTCAGAAAAGTAGTTTTCCAGTGCCTGCGAGACCTCCCCTCTTACCCCAGGGTCCTGGAGCAGGGATTCATTCAAGCGCCACGTCCATGTTGCTGGCTTAAACAACGGGGATTCCAATTCGATCCGAACTGAGCCGTGGTCCGACCAAGTGGCCGGTTCTATAGAGGCTGTGCGCAAACGGGAGAGCCCCTCGGATCACCGAGTAATGTGTGTAGTCCTTGATAGAGGGGTGAAGCATCCTCCAGCAGTCCACCAATGCTAGCTCACCTAGCGTTTTGCGAATGGACCTAATGCGAGATTGTGAGAGGCAGCTATGGCCAGTGGATGAGTCCATGATAGGGTCTAAGGGGGCATTAAAGTCCCCCCCCACTATCAGTGCTCCCTCCGAGAATCCATGCAGTTTGTTTAGCGTCCCACGAAGGAATTGTGCTTGCTTCGAATTGGGAACGTATATGGTCGCGAGAGTGTACATTCTGTCGGCTATCTTCCTTTCAGGAAAAGGAAGCGCCCTTGATCGTCAGCCAATCTATCCAGTTCCTGGAAATCTAGGTCTGCAGCAAGCAGTATCGCAACCCCCGCCCGACGGGCAGTCGGATGATTGTTGCAGTAGTGCAATGGGTGATGAGCGCTTCGGAGTTTTGGAGCGGCGTTCTCCCGGAAGTGGGTTTCTTGTAGCATCGTTTCTGTCGCAGAATTCTTAGTAGGTGAGAGCGGCGTTCCGGTATATTCAAGCCTCTGCAGTTGAGGGTCATGACGGACAGGGGAGCGCGGTTATACGCCATAACTTCCTCTGTGGCCGTGTGCTCCGGCTCCTAGGGGGGTATCCAGGCGGGGCGAGTGGCCAGGGAGACACTGCCAACTAGTGAGGGCGTACGCGTGACTATGAGGTGTATTGTCCTATGCGTCCGTTTCAGTGCTAGTTATGGGTGGGTAGTCAAGCGTCCCATGGGCTATGGGTCTCGTTCAGGAGGCGTCCCCCCTCGTTATCTGTGTCAGGCCAGAACGTGTGCCGCAGCCGCAAGGGTTGGTGTGAATGTGGGTGAGTGCGTGTGAGTGTATTTAAGGATAGTATGCGAGTGGTGTCAGTAGTAGGGGACTGTGGAGTGTGTGAATAAAAATAAAATAAAATATATAATAAAATAAGGGTGGGCCGAGTGGGTCCCTCCTTTGGGGTACGTCCCCAGCGGAGCTCGCAGCTTACACGTCCATCTCGGTCGGCATCCAAGCCACGCCCCCAACTATGTAAGAATTTAGCATACATCGAGCTTCATACACCTATAAAAGGAATGGGTTCCCTGCTTTTGCAAGCCATTTAGCGGGAGGTAAAAGTGGTAGCGGGAGAAGATCTGGAGCTGTATAGCAGAGAACGCTTAGATTGTGATTTGTGTATTTGAGTACTGATGTGTCACAAGGAAGAAAGATGAGAGATTTGATACCTTTTAATAATCAGGAAAAATGATACCAAGGGTGATTATTAACAAAGGTAAAAAATCCACACAATGAGAAACCCTGAATTCTAATACTGTGATGGGTAGAAGTACCTCACTAGCTTTGTTCCAATCTGCTGCCAGAGCTCCTGCCTTTCCTCTTCAGAACTCCTTGGAAGAATATTTTTGTCTTCAAGGTCCTTTTTGGATGGCCTATTGCCAAGTTTGATAGCGAGTGTGTCTCTTCTTCTGATTTTACTTGCTAAAGAACCTAAAATAAACAAAAAAATGATATAAAGTATTTTTTTTTATGAAATAGAATGTACTTCACATTACAACCTTGGAAAATAAGAAACTGAAAATATCTTGATGGGTGAACATATCTTTAACATTAGTATATCACTATAAAGAGTACATGAAAGAGCAAGATACAGGTTTTATACCTCATAGGATTTATAGAAATTATTCATCTTTGTTTTATTTTTCTGCCCAACTAAGAACCATTTTATGATGAAATGTTCTCCAACCGTTTAAAAAATAAGCACAGCTTTGTGTGTGTATAAATATATATATTATACAAGATCCAGCGCACTCACTCACTAACTATACAGCAACCAGCAACTTCAAAGCTTTTGTAAAAAATCTGACTCACGCAAAAATAATGTGAGTTTAGTTACAGTATATGATCATACATTGCATAAGCCTGCCAGAAATCAAATGTACCCCAATCTTGGCTTACGCAATGTATGATCATATACTATAACCAAATCTCCATTATTTTTGCCTATGTCAGGTGTTTTTTTTTTTTTTATTTTTATTTAAATTTGTTGAGCTTTGAAGTTGCTGTTTAGTTAGTGACTGAGTACATGAACTGGATCTTGTATGTTGTATGAATTGGCCACGGCAGCACTTTTATAATAAATGCATGTTCAGGTGAGTGCAACATTCTTGTTTCCGTATTATATAGACACACATACATAAACACACACATATATACAGTATTTTAATTGTGTGGAAAAATAGAGAAAAAATATTCTCAACACCATACGTAACAAATCACCTCCCTAAATATAGAATTATATATTTTCATAATGTGCAATTTAAATAACTATTCCTTTGTTGTAGTTGAAATATTTTTCATTCCCATCCTTATTTGATGACTTTTTATTACTTTTATACTACAGCTGAAATTTATAAATGAGCATTACCCATCTAAGGCTTTTCCATTCTAAAGTGAACACGTGCAACTTGTGCTTAATGTAACTTTATCACTTAAATGTTTTAGTTATATTGATATTGAATAATGAAGTAAAGCAGAAAGCTTGTCTACTGACAAGTCATCTTTAAAGGGACACTATAGTCACCAGAACAACTACAGCTTAATGTACAGGTGGTTCTCACTTTGTGACCTACCTATTTTGCGACGGAACATAAAAAAAAAAAACAGATCAGGGAATCCCTCTAATCTATGTTTGGGGAACGTTCCCCGACCATAGATTTGAGGGAATGCCTGCTCTGCTGCGCTTGTCTATGTTCAGGGAAATTTCCCCGAACATAGATCTGCACTTATGCACATGCGCCTACCTTACCAACCAATTTGTTTTACCACCGGGTCATAAGAACAGAAGCCGGTCGGTAAGTGAGGAGCATCTGTAGTTGTTCTGGTGAGTATAATCTTTGCCATCAGCCATTTTTCAGAGAAATGGCAGTGTTTACATTGACCCCTATGGACACCTCCAAGTGGCCACTCCTTAGATGGCCACTAGAGGTGCTTCCTGGGGCAGTGTTGATTCAATGCATCTCTATGAGAAGGTGCTGATTGGCTAAAATGGTGTTTGGCCCTGTCCCCATCCTGCCTCTTTGCCAATTTCAGCCAATCCAATGCTTTCCCAATGGGAAAACATTAGACAGGCTAAAAAGCTGAAATTCTGATGATGTCACCAAAGAGGTGGATTGGCGCAGGGCCAGGGGGGAGGAGGGGCAAGTCACCTAAACGGTGAATTTAATACTATAGGGTCAGGAATACATGTTTGTGTTCTTGACCCTATAGTGTTCCATTAAGGTTCAGTATGACTGCACATGGTAGGTGGGGGACACCTGTAGTTTCTAAGAGTCACTATCATCCAAGTTAAATGTTGTGTTTATTAAAGGGACACTCCAGGCACCCAGACCACTTCTGCCCATTGGAGTGGTCTGGGTGCCAACTCCCACTACTCTTAACCCTGCAAGTGTAATTATTGCAGTTTATAAAAAACTAAAAAAATTACCTTGCAGGGTTAACTCCACCTCTAGTGGCTGTCTGCCAGACAGCTACTAGAGGGCAGGGGCGGACTGACCACTCGGGCACTTCGGTCATGGACCGAGGGCCCGAGGCAGTCAGGGGCCCGGCAGCACAGCCATGTTCCAGCTGGAGAGATCAGAGATCTCTCCAACTGGAACAGCAAAAAATAATAAAATAAAACTTTTTAATTGATAGGTTGTGGGGCCCCTGATGCAGCACGGGGCCCCACAACCTACCGCTCTGCTAGTCACAC